CCGCACGCTGAAGCTGACGACGCCAACGTTCGGCGATCTGAACCACTTGGTGTCCGCCGTGGTCTCCGGTGTGACGTGCTGCCTGCGCTTCCCCGGCCAGCTCAACTCCGACCTGCGCAAGCTGGCGGTGAACCTGGTGCCCTTCCCGCGTCTGCACTTCTTCATGATGGGCTTCGCCCCGCTCACGAGCCGCGGCTCGCAGCAGTACCGCGGCCTGTCCGTGCCTGAGCTGACGCAGCAGATGTTCGATGCGAAGAACATGATGCAGGCGGCCGACCCGCGCCACGGCCGCTACCTGACGGCCTCCGCGCTCTTCCGCGGCCGCATGTCGACGAAGGAGGTGGACGAGCAGATGCTCAACGTGCAGAACAAGAACTCGTCCTACTTCATTGAGTGGATCCCGAACAACATCAAGTCCTCCATCTGCGACATCCCGCCCAAGGGCCTCAAGATGGCCGTCACCTTCGTTGGCAACAACACCTGCATCCAGGAGATGTTCCGCCGCGTGGGCGAGCAGTTCACGGCGATGTTCCGCCGCAAGGCGTTCTTGCACTGGTACACGGGCGAGGGCATGGACGAGATGGAGTTCACCGAGGCGGAGTCCAACATGAACGATCTCGTGTCGGAGTACCAGCAGTACCAGGACGCCACCGTCGAGGAGGAGGGCGAGTTCGACGAGGAGGAGCAGTACTAGACGGGGTCTGCGCCGCGGCTGCGAGGGAGGACGGCAGACGGCGATGGGGTCGGGGACGTGTGAGAGGGCCGCAGCATCGACGACGCCCAGCCCCCTTTGTCTCTCTCTCTCTGCATCTCCCGTGCGTACCTTTCTTCTTCTTCTTCTTTGGGGTCGCTTTGCTTCCCCTCTATTTCTTTTTTTGGGGTGAGGGGTTTTTTTTTGTCCGGCCCCCCGTTGACTCGAGGGAGAGGCGTGCGCATTTACAGATTGGGGCCGGCGGCGGATGGCGGATGACAGACGGGCGGGGAGACTTGCGGAGGATGGGGTGGGCGGCAGGACGCCGTTGGTGGTGTGTGTGTGTGTGTTGGGGGCGGTGGGCGCCGGTTGCTCCTTCTATTTGTTTGCGATTGCGCCCGCCCGCTTTCTCGCACACGCACGCGCGCTCTCTTTCCCCCCCTCCCCCTTCCGCTCCCCCGCGCCGTGCCGCCGGTGGTCCTGCGGGCTTTCGCCACTTGAACGAGTGCGCTGTTGCCGCCACCGTCTTCGGGCGGCGCCCTTCTTCTTTACTGCCCCCTCCGACGGGGCGGGACGCGATGTGGTGTAGGGGAGTCGCGAGTCGCCGGGCGCGCCCGGTTCCGTTTTTTTTTTCTCTTCGTTGTCCCCGTGCCCGCCTCCTCCTCTGTGCCGCGTGCGCCGCATACCGTTGTCTCCCCATCTCCCCCTTTGTTTCTTTGCCC